AGATTTGAAGACATACTTCCCAAGTAACACATAAAACATCTTTTTGAAAAAGAATTAGAACGGCTTGTTGTATAAATGTATTATAAGGGATGCCGAAAACATCCCACGTTATATATGAGGTTTAAAGATGTTTTCTTCATACTTCTTTGATTCAACATTTTCCAAAATAGTTTTCTTTTGCTTTTATCTTTAAATGTTATTTGAACGTGCATGTTTCTGTTTTAATACCACTATAATACTTGTCGTATACAAAATCAATCCAAATTGACGTAAACATTGACGGTGCCATTGAGCCGGACTTTCTCTTCACGCAGTGATTGACAGTTTCTTATGAGGTATTCGGAGGTTTGTTATCAAGAAAGTTGAAACTACTTTTTTATGACAACTCATAAATTAATACAACTGAAAATGTGCAGGTTGTCTTATAAGGAGTTGAAAATACGTTTAAATAACATTCTGGCAATTAGATGTACGCTTTGCTACTAACAAAACGTCTTCATGACGGATCGAAGGCGTGTTGAACGAGAAAATAATTGTCATGCCATTGGCAAGAACATGATAGATACTTATAACAAACCTTTCATCAAGCGGTGTGGGTCTAGTTAGGTAGTATCAAGTCTACCACGCCAAGGACCAGTGATCGAGTCCCATGCTCAAGTTTTTTTTTATTGTTTTTTTTTTGTCGCTGGTTTTTATGATGTTTCCAAAACATGTTATAAGACCAGTATTTAGTTGTATAAGCTCCGCGTCTTGCGCTTTTTAGGTTGTATAAATGTATTAAATGATGTATATTAAAGTATTAGTGATTCTTTGCGTTAGTCATTACAAAGTATTTTCAACTTCTTTATGACAAGCCGTGTTGCTTGGGTTCAAATCTCCACGTACATCGTACGGGTTAGGCAAAAGGTGTGCGTTTGTCTTTGTACTGTCGCATTAATAGGCCTTCGCTCATTTTCAACTTCTATTCAAATTTCATACTGCCGTACTCTAACGGAACTATCCACCTACCCTCTTCAAAAGATCATTCTCTAGCTAATAAATTATCACACTAAATCTTCATGCTACATTTCCAACCAACTCTGAAAATCGCAAACTTCACGTATAACATAAAACACTTTGAAAATTAACTTATGGTCCAGTAGAGCACCTAGATCGCTGAACTGGTCGGTTCTTTGAATAGCAGAGCCGTTGATTTCGTAGTCGAAAACGATTGGCTGCTTGATACGGTAATACGGCATTAGCATACATTTAGGAATACTGACGGTAAGCTTATTCCGACGACACCAATCAACGAACAAATCCAATAACAATTGAAGACGAATGCAATCCTCAGCAGTCCGCACCACGAAATAAAGTTTTCGGTCATGGGCATACGCAAGTCTACAGCCATTTCCAAGAAGAAGCAGTACGTCGTTAAAATACAATACAAACAGCAACAGACCAAGATTACTACACTGTGGCACACCGGACGAGCTCGGAAAATACGAGGAAGTACTGTAATCAAGTTTCACTCGCAGAGACCTGTCAGTCAAGTACGAGCACAATCACGACGTCGATGTTAGATAGCTTCGCCAACAGAATTTCATCGTTGATCGTATCAAACGCTGCTTTCAGATCAGTATAGATAACGTCTACTTGTGCCCCATTTTCCAATTGCTCAAAACAGGTCGTGGTAAAATCTAGAAAATTCGTGGTAACTGAATGTCCAGGCATGAAGCCATGTTGGTTACTAGATATGTAGCATTTGGTGCGCTCAAGAATGACACTACTCACAATTAGCTCAAAAAAAATTTAAGGCAGCAGACAGATTAGTGATAGTTCTGTAGCTTTTAACGACACGTTTGTCTTCTTTCTTGTGAACCGGAACCATAAATGACTCCTTCCGGATTGCAAGAAATTACAACTCCACAAAAGATTTTTTGAATATTCTGCAAATCCGTCAGGTCCAGTCGAAAAAGTACATTTAATTTTCTTGGCGGCATTAGCGACCATTACGGGCGTTATTTCAAAAGTAACCATGTCAACAACTTCGAATTTACATAGCTCCAAAAGCTCTTGGGGTTTTGCCTTAAGTTAGTTTGCACTTGTATGCAAATCGAAATCAATCTTGTTAATTATGATCAGAGATTATCGCTATTCCATGTGACAACTGTAAAACAAATTATAATCGCTTTATCGTTTCAAGCACTATTAATTGTGATTTTTGGATTGGTGCTGATCATGAGTGTAACCAAAATGAGAATGACATTATCTTTATCTGAATCGTTGATTTTGATTTCCTGACTGTTGTACACTAGCGAGTTGTGGTGCGTATCAATGTAGAATATTCAAAAGTTGTAGCTCTTCATCAACCGATGGCTTCAGGCCTGGATGGCCTCACAACAAGATCTCGAATGCTTGACCTCAATCTTTGACGTACTCAGAAGCCAATCAACAGAAATTAGAGAACGTAAGTAGAGTTAGATTGGCCTATGAAAAGGTTGAAACGAAATTTGCAAGCAAGCACTGGATTGGAACCCTGCAGTAAATCGCAGTGGAGGTAGACCCATGAGCTCATGACACAGAAGCCTCAACATGAGGTTCTACAGTTCAAACTATGGTTTGTAATATTTATTTGAAGAACTCGAATTATTGTGTCATTTCAACATAATATCTCACAACATATAAGGGGGTCCATGAAGTTCTGCGGGTTCAAAATATTGGTCGTAGCATCGTACAATATCTAGTTGAGTCCATAGAATCTCCAGATCATGAGATGCTCCAAGATGAATTGAAAAATCTAATAAATGTTTAAACACATCTATGTCTTTGTAATGTGATTAGGTCCCAAATAGCTCCATTGATTCAAATAATAAGTCAAAATATCGTTCAAACATTGCTTGAGCCTGTAAAACTTCAAGATCTTAACATCAGGATTATTTAGAGGACACGATTTATTTTGTCATTTCAACTATATATCCTACACGGATAAATATCCTCAATCCCCAGCAAAATCTTATTGTTGCTGATTCATAAAACAAATAAGTCAGCTAATAAGCAGCCTTAAGCTTTGAAGTTAACGAAGATCATGTGTCAAATGAAATGCATAAATGGTCACACATATCGTTTATGCATTCTTCTAGAATCTAAACTCCCGATCATAACTTGCGGTCACCATTTAAAAAACATTTAAATGTTTTTTGCTCATGACTCTGCCGTTTTACGACTAATTATTGATCTTTATAGATATGATTCAAAATTCAAAACTCCACTGGTCATGTTTTAGAAACTCCGTAAGGAACTGAAATCAAGACAAATATAAACAAAGCTTAGGGTCTAATTTTTATTCTACATAATATCAAAAACGATATTGTCCTGGGTAACAAAGGTTATGTATGGGTTTTTAAGGATATAAACGCATTTAAGGTGTCGAACACCTACAAAACCCCTAAATCTCTATTATGGCCTGATTTACAGAGACAAATGCATTTGAAGATTTGTAACACTCAAACACCCCTTAAATCTCGGTTAAAGCCTTTTTCTGAGATGAAAGCAGTTTATGATTCGGTACACCCAAACATCTCTACGGGCTCGATGTATGCCTTAGGTACAGAGAAAAATGAATTAAATGATTGCAAATACCCAAACACCGCTTAAATTTCTAAGCGGTTTTATTTACTGAGGTGAATTCACTTTAACGATTTGAAACACCGATATATCTCTAAAGCTTATAGTAAGGCCTTATTCATGGCCTCAAATATTGATTTAGGCCTTATTTACGAAGAAAAATAAATTTTAAGATCTGGAACATCCAAATATCCCTTAAATCTCGATTACAAACAAGCAAAACCTCAAAAAAGCTCAATCTCAATTTAAGCGTTATTTATGTTAAAACCATAACTATTGGTAATTTTCTCAAATGGTGTGATTTATAATAGCCATTTTCTCGCAAATATATAACTAGCAATGCAGAAATATTTTGCAAAGTCAGACAATCGTATAAATTGAATAAAAAATTTAGAGCATTCAATAATAATTACTGATCGTCGAAAATATCGAAGAAGTCAAACCAACCCAGAATCCAGCAGGTCATCGCACACAATAACGTGCTACTACCTCTTTGCATTCAGCACCAGAAAAAAGACAGCATAAAAGCTATTCTATGTTGCAGTCTGAAAGCCTGTCGCGACGCACCGCCCGCGTTGTCAAGCGCCATCCTTTCATTCTACACCGCCCGGATCGCCGTTTTCATCGATGATGCTCCTTCTCGTTCGCTCAATCTGATTAATTTTTCTCTCTTATAAAAACGTAAATCAAATAATCCCCTTGGAGCGGCCATGCAAATCTTCATACAGACAACGGAAAACAGCAAATGAATTTATCGCGCACCATGCTGCCCAAATAGGCATACCTACTGCATGCTGCATCGAAGAGAATGAAAAAGGATCGTGCATCCAAGTGGTGCCTCGGACTTACTTATAGTTGTGTCTTGCAGCATGCATTTGCGGTGCAGCTCGTCCTCTTTTTGTCACACTTTATTCCGTGGCAATCGGGAGTGAGGGTTGAGAAATGCCTTTCCCGCGAACATAGCGTTGTTCACAGATGCTGCATCAAAGAAAGCTACCGACTCGTGGTGTGGGGGAGGGGCGTGGGAGCTTCATGAGCGGAATGAATCACCAGGCGGTTCCAGAGCTCGATTGAGAAAGTAATTAAACATGGATTGTGAGGAAGTGGATGTCCGTAGCTTGAAATGATTATATTCAATGTGAGCAGTAAATATATGAACTGACGTAAGGTAGATTTTCATACAAGTATTATAGTGAATACCATCCTGATGCAAGTGACGCTTCGCGGTCACTCATTAAGTAGATAAACTTAATGGACTTAAAGATTACATGTTGGAGGTAAATGACAGCAGCATACCGTTCACACTTCCACACTACCCATAAGAGTCCGTTGAGTCATCCAAAAAGAATTTAGAATTTTAGAAGCTTTCTATGCATTTCGAAAAGACACACAAATATATTACTTTTTCACAAACATTCTTACATATTATTTACAGTTCTGAAAATTAGTACTCTACATTTCACTAAACTTGACGTTGATCCCAATCCTAACCTTACGCAATCTAGATTTTTGGCTTGTCTAAGTACTTCTAAAACTAAGCATAACAATTACTTCAATTACTGGCTCGTTCAGCTACCGCCGTACTTGTAATGACACTGGTGATTTCTCCATTGGGTGCTCGACTCGTATCGAGCGATGATGGAATACTGAAAATTTGGAAGGTTGTTAGAATTCAATGTTCTATAAACATCAGCACTGGAAAGCTTACCTGGTAGGGACATGCCGAGTCAAATTGGTACTATTGGAAAGGTGAGTTGGCATACTGCTTGCCGTCGATGTGCTATCAACGTATCTTTGGTCTTGTGTGGGTCCCGAGGATGAGGTGATGGCATGGTTCGTGTGTATTTCCATTGCCTGGGAGGAAACCACCGCCATGTGGCTGTGCGGTACCATCAATAGTTTCTGAGCTCCAGGGCCACCACCGCCGGGATGCATTGATGACTGGATCATTGAGGGAAGAAGTTTTTCTGAAACACAGTAAATGTTAGTATTAGCGCTTGGTTGTTCAGATAATAGAAATAATCCAGTATAAATAAATTTTATCAAAATAATTGAATGTTCTTGCCACAAAATAAACTAATGAAAAAATAACAAAGGCTCACAATCAACAACAACCCTAAATGATGAATAATCTAGTCTACACGTACACAGCCAGTACTTGAAAGAATCCTGGAAAATGCTAGAAATTCATCTAAGGGAATTTACGTATTCCCGGCAATCTTCGTCCGTCCTTTTATTAACATTTGGTTGATGTGTTTGTTTGTTTGTTTACATTTATTTGCTGCATGCTGCTCTATCCATTCCAATCGATAGAATGGATGAAAACTGACTGAAAACGTTTTTACAAAGCTCCAAACTTCTTAAATGAGTGTGACTATTGTCGGCAACCTTTCTATTTAAACTGCGTGTTAACCAGCTGTTCTATTATAGGCAACTCGAAATCAGCCACATTTTGTAATCTGCATGCTTCATTTCGAGAAAAACCCAGACAAAATGTTTTCTCAGTTCTAACAATCAGATCAGATTGAAGCTGAAAGATCGAAGAATCGTTCGAATACATTCAACTATGTATTTTGGTGATAAAATACAGTGAAATTAACGTTTAAACTTTGGCTGCTGAAAACAGTCAATAGGTGCCGAAGCCGCCATTAGATGAATATTAATGCTTGCAGCACATCAGGGATGTGACACAAACACTGAAGTGGTTAGGCCTACTGTGTAGCGTTTATTAACTTCTTATGTAGATGTCAATGCTGGTCACGACAAACGTGGCTCATTTTATTAAATATAGTCATAAGTTTGCATTTCATCGACTGGAAATCATAGAGCGGAACAAACCGCACCAACCGCTCTCAATCATCGATTAGAAAATTAATTAGTTGAATCGTTGGGAGTGATATAGGTAAGAAATGAACGTACACTCCATTGTATCCTGATCTCCTGGGATGGAACACAGGTATTTCCCCCTTGTGTTCAGGCTTCCAAGCCTGTCTTTACTCGCTTCTTTGACGGTCGGCACGGTCGGCACAACGAAGCCATGTATCATGATTTATGTACACGAAAAAAGTTGTGACCCCCTTATATATTTTGAAACCGTAAGGTAATGATGCCAGTTTGTTAGATCATAAAATAGTTAAATTTTAGATCTAACAAACACACAAACCAACTTGTTACAGAATCTTACGGTATCAACATAAAAAAGGATCCCATCTTTTTTCGTGTACAAAAATCAGGATGCATGACATCGCTGATGGAACATTAACTCTTCTGTGTTACCTGACTTAAAACGAAAATACGTTGTATACGAGTACCCCGAACAGAAACAGAAAGCAAAAAGCATGAAGGAAAAAGGATATTTGCTCAGAATCATATAGATGAAATCCTGGGCTGGGCATTATTGTCCTAGGTTTAATCCGACAATAATATCTGTTGGAATTAATCACCAGCGTTGCCTATATCTCAGATTTATCTGGATTTTCCACATTTTAAGTCATTTTGACAGATACACACACAGATCAAAATTATCTCCAGATTTTTTAAATATGTTCCAGATTCTCCCAGATTTGTTAACATGAGATTTAAAAATATCACTGCCATTCATTTACCTCTCATCCAAAAATAAAAGTCAACCGCTACTTAAATTATTAAAGGCCATCAACGTCCATTGGACACTATTGCAAGTTTATAAGGACTGTTCATTTAATAACACAGATAAAGAAAAAAACCCATAGCTTTTTCATTTTACGTTTATCCAAAGATTATGTTCCCACGAAAATTATGTAATACTTAAATTAATGATTGTTGTTGATTAAATGAACATTAAAAGTAAGTCGTTACAAAAACGTATAAACAAAACACAAAGAAAAATTATATTCTAAATTTATGCCTTTATTGTTTCTTACGCAAACAAGTGATTATATTTTTATTTTTCATGCAACCTTCAACATACACAACATACATGTAGAAGCATTTAGGCAAAATGTTTTAAGTTGTGTGTCGACCAACTCATATCGAACTTTGTCTTACGTGTTACCAATTCATTCATTCAATTCAAATTGAATGAAAACTGCTACTGTGTTACCTGACTTCTAACGAATATACGTTGTATACGAGTACCCCGAATACAACGTATGACTCGTCTAATTTTGCATTGCATTTGCAATGTAAAATTAGACGAACTATATGTTGTATTCGGGGTACTCATTTACAACGTATATTCGTTATAAGTCAGGTAACACAGTAGAGAATAGCTAAACGTTACAAGATAAGGAAGAATCAAAATTATTAAAACTTAATCGTTAGTTTTCTGAAGTAGTAAACATGGGACGAAAAATACCAATAAAAATTTTGAAAAATCGTTCTTTGTTCTACAACATTTTTTTTTTTGTTGATGTGTATCATCATTGAGAATTCAAAAAATTAAAATTATTTGGCTTGATGCAAATTAAAAAAATACCCAGGTGTTCCATGAGTACGAAAAATGTTGTTAACGGCATTTTAGAGCAAAAGTCGACCAAAAAGTGGAATATTTCTGTCAAAAATTTCTTTTAAATTAATTTACTTTCCAAAATTATTTTTAAATTTAATAAAGAGTCACAAATATTGGAATATTGTTAAAAAAAATCTAACACTGCTTCTGGATTGCAATTCCGTCATACAAGTTTCATTTCCATCAAAACGCATTGAAACCAAGGTTGTAAATACTCATTCCAGCTAAAATAGTGTTTTTCGGAATTATAAAACCAAAAGATGGTATGATGACATGTTTTACTTTTAACTTACAAGAAGAAGTTACACAGTATGCGTTTGAAACATAAAACCTGTAAATTTTGCTTTCTATGAGTCACAATCAGCGATTTGCTGATTGCTGAGTGAGTGAGTGAGTGTGTGAAAAATCGCTGATTGTGACTCTCATGAAGTGAAATAAACAGGTTTAATATGTCAAACACATTTTTTGCAACCTCTTCTTGTATCTTACCAATTCAAAATATGATCATAGCATCTAATTATTTCATAATTAAAAAAAAAAAACATTGTTTTAGCTGAAATGAGTATTTGCAACCTTGATTGAAACTTCATTCAATTCACTTCCACATACGTATGAATGCAGAAAAAATGCATTCGCTAGGAGCACTTTTTTTTGTTTTCGAGAAACTTTATGGAAATATTCATATTATGCATCTTTATATAATTTGGTTGTATAGCTTTAGAACTAAACTATCGTATTAAATCAATCATAATTCGTTCACATCGAAATCATTGATATTTTTTAATGTTTATGCTCGATATGACATAAATAGGCGCTTATGTCGAAGTAGTTACTGGTAAATTTATATGATAGACACTCAAATCCAATCGAATTATTATGAGCCAAAAAAGTTGGACGTGGACCAAATTTCGAGAAGCTCTAGTTTAAAGTTATGATTCATTCGGAGTCGGACTACTTTTTCTTTGATTTTGACTCCGACTCCGACTCCTTATGCTTAAAAATGCGACCGAATCTAACTCCGACTCCACGACTTTGACTCCGACGCGAAATCCCTGCTTGTAACACTAGACAACGACAATACATATCACCCAGTAGCCCAGTAGGGAAATTTCATTTTACAAAAAGATCCACCGGCTGGAGAGGGAATCAAACCCTGACTCCGTGGCACACTCAATATGCCTGAACGACAAAAGAGGGCACTAACTGCACCACCGAAAAGCTCACCATAAAAATGTGGAAATCTTCACAGTTTTGCGTGTCATCCTTACTCGGCTTCCTTCTTTTTCGAAGTCAAATTATATAAATAAATCTTAATACCGAAGCTCGGCGCAACTGATAAAACTATTAATCAAAGGTATCTGGTGAAAGTTCTCTTTCTAATGGGTTAGAAAAAGAACTTCCAACAATATCCCTTGATCCATTTCCTGGTGCTACAGACTCAAACTTTAAAAATGTCTCTAAATTTGCTCCTTAGTAGTAATTTAACATTAGAAGATATTTGGACTAGCACTATCCGCCCTTTGGCCTTTTCCATCACCTTTAAAACTGTGGACCTCTATCGCATATCATCTATTCTTTGAATTATCTAGAACAATCATCAGTTAACTCACCAGTTCCAAGTCCATTCAGCGACTGCATCGATTGACTAGATTTAGGTTTCCGTTTTCGCGTTTGAATGCCATCTTTCTTCATGGTCAGTGGTCGATCCACGTTGTGCAGCTTGTGGTACAGCCCGCATGCATTGCAAACCGGTTCACCTCGGTTGTTGCGGCGCCAAAGCGTGGTGGTCGTTGTCTGACAGTTGGCGCACGTTACTCCTGTCCGACGGTTACCAGGTACCGGTGTTTTCTAATTAAAAGCAGAAATACGTTAACAAAAACCTGAATCATCCAAAAAGTAACGTAATCTTACGGGCGGCTGTTTCGCTTTCTGACTTCGATTCGGAGGCCTGTTGGTTCCCGGATTCTGCCGGTTGTACAGGGCGCATGCGTTACACAGTGTATGCCCAACATTATCCCTTCGCCAGAGCGGTGTGTCTGAACTGCCACAATTGACGCATTCTCGGTGTTCGGATGGTGGCAAAATGGACGTTTCGTATGCATCACTCAATCCACTAATCTGCCAAGGTTGCCCATTGCTTGCATACTCCGTGGCACCCGATGGCGTTTGATCCATAACGACAGCGCTGCCAAAAGTCTAAGAGTGATAGGACATTTGAAATGTTTAAAATTGTAATTTTATCTAATTGAGTACTCACCGTACTGTAGTCGATGTTTCCATTCCAGTACGGATAAATCTGCTGTGCTCCAGGGGATCCACTGTTATGCGTAGGTGCACTTTCATACAAATTTTGTGAGCTGTAGTGAATCTGCTTAGCAGATATGATCGAGGAAGACGTGAGCGTTGGGTCACTGCTTTTGTAGAGTACCGTATTAGGGCTAGCGGAATGGTAGTAAACCGTATCCTTAGATGGAATGTATGGATAATTGGCAGGTGTTTGATAGCCCTCGGGAGCGATGTAGTAGTTCTGTGAGGAAGACAACGAATGAACCGGTTCCAGATTGGTGTAGTGTGTCTTGACGTCGCTACCGGAAGCTTCAGAGGATGCTTGAACTTCACCCTGTTGAGCTGCCTCCTGAGCTTCATAGATCTGAATGGTATGCGGGTGAGGTTGATGTTGTTGCGACTGAACCGCCGCCTGGTGATGTTGATGGATCTGTGCCTGGGCATGTTGTTGCTGTTGTTGGTGATGATGATGGTCCAGATGTTCTGACTTGATGGTGGTATCCACTTCTTGTTGCGAGGGATGCTGTTGCTGGTGCTGGTGCTGCTGTTGTGGAGCTGACTGCACGTGTGAATGATGTGGATGGTGGTGAGGGTGATGTGGGTGTGGAGGTAGAGATAGACTCGGATGGGGTTGCTGGTAGTGGACATAGCGAGGATGATATTTTAGTTCTTCATATCGTACAAGTGGAGTTGATCCGTAACGAATGGGTTCTTCTACTTCATTTTTGTATTCAACGTAGATCGTTTGTTGAACGGGCATTTGTGCATTTGCTTCCGCGCTGACTAGTCTTTCCTTTTCCATGCTAGATTCTCGCTTCACGTATTGAGGAACAGGAGACGACGCCGCCACACTGTTACTCTGGCTAGTTGGGGACTGCTCGTAGGTGAAGGCATGCCCTGGAGCTGCGGTAACAGTCGTAACTGCTTGATGATATTCAACTGATTCGTAGTCGCCAGAATCGGGATGTCCATCATGCGTTTCTGCGATTTCTCCACTAGTGGTTATCATCCGGTGTTTGTGCTGATTGATGATCACTGCCGTAGGTAATGCTGGAGATTGTCCATCGTTGATTGTCATCTCAGCAGGTACTATTATCTCCTGGACTTCGGCTTCTTGCAATTGGGGTTGTTGTTGCTGTGATTGGTGGTGATGTTGTGATTGCTGCTGCTGTTGCTGCTGATGCTGCTGCTGTTGATGATGTGCCTGAGGAGTGTGAGCTTGTGGTGGGTGCGATAGATGCTCAGGTGATCCCGTTTCGATTTTGGACGTGCTGTCGTTCGAGTCTCTGGTTTCCATCTGAAATTAAATGAAAAAAGGTCTATGACAAACATGAAAGGTGTGAGTCCCGATCTTTTCGGTGATTCATTTTTACGGCTTGATGGTTTGTAAACAATTGGCACGCGTCATAACGAACGGTTATGGCTTCAAGTTTGCAGTCGTGATGTTGCCAGTGCTATGTAGATTTAATGATTTAATTTGGTTTGCACTTGAACCATCCTTCTCTACAGTGAATGACGTACGGAAGTAATAGTAATGTTGCAAAGTGACTCAACATTTTAGAGCAGGCAGGTTGTACCGAAATGAATAAGCAAAATATACGCTAAGCGACGCAATCGACATTACGACGTCCGCAGGTGTCTGTTTCCGCACAAATATGCCGCTTCCGATGGAGGGAAAGCTAGAGAAGAATTTGGGCTGAACTTTCTACACCTTTTACTTGGATTTTTACAATTAATGGAAAAGCTTCTCTGATTTTTTTTTCCCTGAGTGCAGGGATGGCATCGCTTTTTGGAGCATCGTTCATTTTTTTCAACACTGAAAACTTATGTAAAGTCCAATCTTTTGTCAATCAATTTATTTAAAAATAGATAATTAAAGCTAATATGCTTCCAACCAAACTCCGTATTTTTAATGAAGATGCACTTTGGTGCAATTCGTGAAGTTTGTTCAGGAGAATACTAGCTTGCCTTGCTCATGGAATTCATCTCGCCGTAGTTTCCATTTAACCTACCTCAATATCATTATGATGTAGATAGTTTGACATCACATGTAGATATGTGAATGTGTAAATCAATTGTAGATTCATTGTACAGCTTTTCAGAAAGTCTCCAACTAAAGACAATATTCTGCCACAAAACCATTACCTATTTAATCGATTACAAGTTCCTTCATGTTTTTTAATGTTTTGGAAAACTGTTCATTAACTGGAGTACCATATGTGCATATATGACTCAAATTAACAATTAATTAACCACTTCATGCGAGCAGTTAAAATGACGTTTACTACCACTCGAACTTTTAAATAAACCATTATTTTGAGATTTTTTTTTCTTCTAGAACCTCGAGAAAAGTAGCCAAAATTTGTGCGTTTCATAAAAAAAATAGAAATTAGTTGGTTCATTTTTGTCAAATTGCTGGTAGAAAGTCATGCCAAAACTGCTTGACAAAGAGGTCAATTCAATCCCTCCTTTAACTCTTTGAGCACCAAACTGCAAATGATCTTAACACTATTTTCAAAATGTTGTATCTCGGATTCTATTTATCTGTTGTGTAATGTTTTTATACCGTTGGAAAGATTATTTCTTCAACTTTTTATTCTAGTGGTTTTCCAGTAATGCAATTAAACATTCGACTATGCTGACGGAAAGTATGAAATGTTCGCTCTATAGTGTTCAAACGGTCTCAAATCGGGTCCTGATTAGCCTCCGAAAGTTTAAACTCATTTGATAGAAACTGACTTGGCACTAACCATTTGAAGTTTATATGGAATAACAATGGGAAAACAAAACTTTTTATTCATTGTCTTCTACTCTTTTTAAATATTGTACTGTTAAAAAATTCTATTGCTATTCTTATGGGAATTTTTATCAGCTACAACTTTACACAAAATCATTTTTCAGCCAAACGTCAAATTAAATAGTTATTAATTATTTATTGAATCATTAACACAAGCTCAGCCAGTGTTGAGAAAATATCAAAAAATCAAATCTCAACAACGCCCAAGTTCACGTTTGATTTTCGTAGACAAAAATCAACAAACAAACAACTGTGGTTGATTTTGCAAGCTATGATATCGCAGCTCGGAATATCAAGCTAACAAAACTCACCAACTGCAAATCTCACCAAACTGTGGTGAGATTGAGTTTAATGATTTTTGCTTTACTCCCGAATGCAACCGAAACTTCCATAACGGCTTGCAGCAGTCCCTTCGCGTCTGCCATCGGTGAGGATTAAAAAAAAAGCACACTACATATGCTTCCTCTTTCTTAGAAAACGATGTGCAATGGAATCATTTTTGTGTCGAGTCAACTCTCAGCTTCATTTTTGCACGTTTTGAATAGTCTCGCAATATCAAAGGAGCTTGTAAAATCAATATCAAGCATGATATTATGTTCCAATATCACGCGTGATATTGCGGGCACATGAGAGCGGAAAAATATCAATTGATTTCTGATTTTGCCAACACTGAGCTCAGCTATCATTTTCTAAAGTAGAATTAACTGGTGAATTTTGAGATAGATATGAACCGATATTATGGTTTCTCCATAGTAATTCCCATATAAACTTCAAATGGTTTGTGCCATGTCAGTTTCTAACTAAATGTGTTCAAATTTTGGGAGGCTAATCAGGGCCCAATTTGGAGCCGTTTGAGCACTGTGGAGTGAAAATTTCAAATTTTGCATCAGTCTAATGAAGCATTCTACTAAATAATTTTATTAGCTTTCTGCGCAATATGTGCTAGGAGAATTAAATCAGTATGTACAAGCTAAAACGGCTTCTCTACCGACGCAACAATAATTGAATATTCAATATTTAATAAAAAAGAAAAAAAACGATAGTACCAACCACCATGTGTCATGACCAAATAAACCATAATAAAGGGGAACAACTATCATCCTTCCCAACAAGATAAAATCATAAGAAATCTGTTGAACATTATCGAAGATTACTCTAATTTAGTTGTTATAATAATAATCCAACAACTCTTTTAGGTGTTATTGTTTAAAAACTGAAAAACTACTTTTTGAAGCAATGAAATTGGGTTGATAGTGGAATGCTTAAATAAAACAGTAAAAAGGGTTATCTTCCATTTAATTCCACTTAATTAATTTTGGTATCCATGACTTATACGTATTTCGACCATAATGATCAGTTAGTGTCATTCTCACTAAGGACTTATCGAAAATCTAAACCCCTTAAGTACTCATTCCATGTCAAGATCAAAGGTACAAAAATGTAACTTAAATGTGTAGAATCGGAACCTACCTAACTAATAAAAACCAAAGATTGAAGTAAATTAAAGGAGAAAAATCTATACAATTCTCTAATAAGGAAAATTCTCAAAGGCTTGGAAGCCATCATAATGAAGTAATGAAATTGGGTTGTTAGTGGAATGCTTAAATAAAACAGCAAAAAGGGGATATCTTCCATTTAATTCCCCTTAATTAATTTTGGTATCCATGACAGATACGCCTTTCGACTACAATGTGCAGTCGTTTCGTATCTGTCATGGATACCAAAATTAATTTTCGTTTCTAGCTCGGCATGATGTAATATATTATTGTACAAAAATGTCTCTTCTAATCCAAATGACGTCTAACACTAAATTGTGGGAAAATAGATGACCTTTCCAGAAGGAAAATAAACTGTTAAGAATCACATATGTTGGCCAAAAAAAGTTTTATAAAATATTTTATAGTAAATTGATTTTATGACGCTTCAAAAATATGGAATATTAACTAATAGTTGACCAATCTAAAGTCTTGGAAAAAATATCCAGAAGAATTAACTGAAATATTTGGTCAGCTGGAGATCTTTTGAAAAATCCTGATCATTCTACATTCTACTTCTTGACTCTTCACTGAAGTGGAATTTTTACAGAAATCATTAATTGACATGATTTCTGATATGCTTAAATCTAACTCCATGTTTGATGCTATTCAAATTGGGGTAAAATTTGCAAATAATATTGTCATGACTTTAAAATTCAGTAATGGATTTTAAAGCATTAACTATTTTAAATGGGAATGCTCGATCTCTTAAAGATAATGAAGACGAGCTATTTAACTTTTTGAGAGTTCATAACGTGCGTATTGCCGTTATAACTGAAACGTTCCTTAAACCTGACCATAAGGTTAGGAAGGACGCAAATTTATTGATTTATAGAAATGATCGTCTTGATGGACCCTGTGGTGGCGTTGCCATCATTGTTCATAGACGAATCAAACATAAAATTCTTTCTTCATTTGAAACCAAAGTTTTTGAAACTTTGGGTGTTTCTTTTGAAACAAAAATTGGACAACTTACGTTTATAGCTGCCTATTTGCCATTCCAATGCGTAGGCCAGCAAAAGAATTTTCTCAAGGGTGACCTTAAGAGACTTACCCGCCATAGGTCTAAATTCTTTATTATTGGTGATTTTAATGCAAAACACCGCTCATGGAATAATGCTCAAAGCAATTCCAATGGCAATATTCTGTTTGATGATTGTTCTGCAGGTTATTACACTATTCAATATCCAAACAGCCCAACATGCTTTTCTTCTGCAAGAAATCCCTTCACTATTGATTTGGTCTTAACTGATTCATGTCAACTTTGTAGCCAATTGGTTACCCATGCTGACTTCGGTTCTGATCACCTTCCAGTAACTTTTGAAATATCCCAAGAAATAATTTGTAATCCCAACAGCTCTACTTTCAATTGCCATAGAGCTGATTGGGGGCAATATCGAACATTTATGGAATATAACCTCGATCCAAACATTCCTTTGCAAACCAAAGATGAAATAAATTATGCTCTTGAATCTCTGACTACTTCTATAGTTGAAGCAAGAGCTGCCTCAGTACCAAAATGCGAGGTTAAATTAGATTCAATTATAATGGACGACGATCTTCAGCTCTTGATCCGTCTTAAAAATGTCCGTAGGAGATCACGCGATCCTGCCATAAAAGTTATCTGGCGGGATTTACAAAAACAAATTAAAAAGCGATTCTCTGCCCTGAGGAACAAAACTTTTGAAAATAATGTTTCTAAATTAGACCCGAGTTCCAAACCCTTTTGGAAACTCACAAAAATTTTGAAAAAACCTCATAAGCCTATTCCAGCGCTTAAAGAAGATGGTAAAATTTTGATCACAAATTTGGAAAAACTCAGAAACTTGCTAAGCAATTCGAGAGTTCCCATAATTTCAGTTTGGGTCTTACTAGTCCTATTGAGAATCAGGTTGCTCGGGATTATCTGAATATTTTCTCTCGGGAAAATATGTTTGATGATTCCTGGGGGACTGATTTGGACGA